AGAGAATACCAGAAGAATGTGTGTTTGTATTTTATTGACTATGCAAAGGCATTTGACAGCGTGAATCATAAAAAATTATGGCTAAAATGGAAAGAATCAGAATTCCAGAATACTTAACTGTGTTCTACAAAACCTACACCTAAATCAAGAAGCTGATGTCAGTGAACAGAGTATAGGTACAGTGCATGGTTTAAAATCAGGAAGGCTGTATACAGAGCTGTATCCTTTCTCTATACTTATTCAGTCTATGTGCTCAACAAATAATGTGAGAATCTGGACTCTGTGAAGAAGGATGTGTCATCAGGATTCGAGGAAGGAAGACTCACTAATAACTTGTGTTATGCAGATGAGACAACCTTCTTAGCTGAAAGTGAAGGGATTTGAAACACTTGTTATAGAGGATCAAAGACTATAGCCTTTAATATGGACATGTCAACATTAAGAAGATAAAAATCCTCACCACCGGTACAATGGGCAACATCATGATAGATGAGAAAATTGTCAACAGTTTCATCTTATTTGGATCCACAATCAACACAGCAGCAGTCAAGAAATCAAGACATGCTGCATTGGGAAAGTCTGCTGTGAGGGATTTCTCCACAGTAGTGAGGGAAAATGATAACAGTTTGAAGACTAAGGTGCACCTGATTCAGGTCATGACCTTTTCAATCACTTTCTAGGTGTTTGAGAGCTAAATAATGAGTAAAGATGATAGAAGAAACCAATGCCTTTAAGTTGTGACACTGGAGTAGAGTACAAAATATCCCATGGACTGTCAAAAAAGAATAAATAGAGAAAGTGTAGCGAGAATGTCCCTTAGAGGTAAATGTGGCAAAACTTCATCTAATATACTTTGGGCATGCTGTTAGGAAGAGGTATTCCTTGGAAACTGATATCATGTTTGGAAAGGTGGAGGGTTAGTCAATGTGAGGAAGACCCTCAATGAGATGGATAAACACAGTGACCTCAGCGGATGGCACAGGATAAGGCGGGGTTCAGATCTGTTATTAAGAGGGTCACTATGAGTTGTACTTGGCTCAATGGCACATAATAACATTCAATACAAATGCTGAATAAGCCTTTTAAGAAGCTAGACCACATAAGGAAGAATAAAACTTTAGGAGTGTAAGAAGCTTCATCAGAAATCTACCTTATGGTAATGAGACAATTTTGCTTGCAGAAAATGAAGAAGACTTGAGGCATTTACTAAAGAAAATCAAAGACTTCATTCTTGTTCTTTTTCGTGGTGCTGCTGGGGCAATAGGCTGCTTCATCATGAAGCTGAACATCTCCTTCTCAGTCACTGGCTGCCAAAAATTCACTGAAGTGGATGATGAATGCAAACTTTGTACATTTTATGAGAGGTGGACGCCCACAGAAGTTGCTGCTGACTCTCTGGGTGATGAGTGGAAGGGTTATGTTATCCAGATTGGGTGGTGGAAATGACAAACAAAGGTTTCCCAAGAAGCAGGGTGTCTTTCTTGACTCGTGTCCGAGTTCACCTGCTGCTAAGTTAAAGGGCTCTCTTATTACAGGCCATGAAGAACTGGAGAGAGAAAGCACAAATCTATCTGGGGTAGCACGTTGATGCCAATTTGAGTGTTCCCAAGTTGGTTATTGTGAAGAAAGAGGAGGAGGATTATTTCAAGACTGACTGATACTGTTGTGTCTCATTGCCTGGGGCCGAAAATAGCTAGCAGAATTCACAAACTCTTCAGTCTATCCAAAGAAGGTGATGTCCACCACTATGTTGTAAGAAAGTCACTGAACAAAGAAAACAAGAAACCCAGGACCAAGGGTGCCTAAGATTCAGCATCTCGTTATGCCACTTGCCCTGAAGCTCAAGTGCAGGCACAATATGGTGAAGAAACAGGGCACTAAGAATAAGGACGAGGCTGCACAGCACTGTAAGCTTTTGGCCAAGAGAATAAAGGAGGCCAAACTAAAACACTAGGAGCAGATCACCAAGATAGATGGAGGCTC